GACTGACAGAAAGCAAGGCTGCCATATCGCGCCATCGGCCCCTCTGGCCAACACCAGTAGGCAAGTAGGGTATGTCTTGCCCAAGGACACAACAACCAGGACAGAGAGCCCAGGGATCGAACCGGCGACCTTCCGGTTACAGATGCGATTCCCAACCCCCTGAGCCACGGTCGCCACATATGAACTAATCTGCAAACCATAAGCAAACCTGGTACAGTAAATGTTTGCAAACTACAGAATGAAGATAACATATGGCTAAATCAAAGCAAAAAAAGAATGCTAACTAATAATAACAAACTGTATGTTAGCAAATGTGTTCTCGCCTACTTTGTCACAGTTTACATTTTTATTTCATTTGGAATTTTTTTTGTCTTCTTTCCAGTTGATTCTGAGTGAGGTTCCAGTGTGTTCTTGCTTATTTCAGTTTAGTTTTACTGTCTGTGTCCTTGGGCAAGATTCTGACATCCAAGTTGTCCCTCGCACATCCATCAGTCTGTGTGTGAAACTTCGGTGTAAAAAGTGCTTAGACATAGAAAACAAAATCACTTGTATTGTGTACTTGTGTGTGTGAATGGATGGCTGAGGCATGGAGAGGTGAAGCACTTTGAAAGTGCGTAGAAAAGCTCTCTAGAAATGCTAATTTAAATGTTTATGTTTTAGCTGAACTTTTATTTGTCTTAATGATTATAATATAGGGGATTACAAATTCAATAACCACTCACCGTCACAGAAAATACAATATAAATGCATAAATATATGAAGTTTTTAAATATTTCTTTTAAAAATGTACACTAGTGTCAGACAAAGCCAAGCTATCCACTGCACACAGCTAGAGGGACCCTTCAGTTATTTAACATGCCCTTCAGTGTTTCTATGTGACTGAAAAAAGGTAGCCTATAATCTCCATCACTTCGCTCCGTGCTGGGAATTTAACTGAACGTGGCCTTAAATGTAAAACATGGCATAAACAGTGTTACACCTAATGATAAAGTGTAAAGAATTAACAATGCACTTCTGTCAAA